AACACCAACAGCGACATCATTACGAACCCCCAGAAACACCAACAGCGACATCATTACGAACCCCCAGGAACACCAACAGCGACATCATTACGAACCCCCAGAAACAACAACAGTGACACTATTACTTAATAATTTAAAAACAAACAACACAAGTTTTGTATTACGTACAAAAGCAAAAGTAGAATAATTGTTGACCGTTATTGCCGACCAATTAGCATTGCGATCAGTTATGTCGCACAAAGCCATGGCTTCACGATGAAAATGGTTAATATGTTGACAACCTTTTCATGTTATTTCTGTTATTGTTTCAAAGATAAGTTAATTCTTCATTCCTAACATAATCCATCAATAATAGTTTACGCCGTCGACAAGTGGGTTAGGGTTTGCCTTAATCCTGGGCCACGCTCTCGTTTAAAAAGAACGAACTAAACATGTTAATCTGAAGGTACAATACACAGATTAGACAGATTGGCAGTGTCCCTAACACTGTAACACCGACACAACCTCGATATAATATACGGGCCAATTACGTGGGAAGATGGACGCGTGAATGTTGACAACATTTTTCCGCCATTATCTGTAACATTGGTGGACATTTAGGCCTTTCGGCCTTCATGAGGCTTCTGTATTACACCGTGAGTAAAAACAGTGTAAGATTTATCCGTCCGCTGCCGGAAGTTTAAGACTCTCCACCACTACCAGAGTTTCAAATTACCCTGCCTTTCTGCCGGATATGGCTGTGTCGGCGCTGTTTCTGCTGATCGTCAGCGTCACATTGACGTTTGCGGTAGATCCTCAGGGATGCACATATGATTCGTCTAAAACAGAATACAGCTGCAGCGCCCGTAGCTGGTCGCTCCCCCTGGTGTACTCGGACTTCGACAACATACCACAGGTGCTGAAGCTGGTCGATATTGATGGATCACTTTCTTACACAGGACCCGCGACATTTTCCGGATTCGAAAACATTAATACGGCATTGTTCGATGGTAACCTCGTACCCGCTCTCCACCTCCGGTGTATCGGTGGTGGGTCGCTCATCGTCTATAATGGGACCTTTGACAATATGGGATGGGTGAAGGAATTGCGAATCTTCGATTGTATGATCCTCTCGCTCCCCGACGATGTCTTCAGCAGCTTCGGAACCCTCAATTACTTCAGTATTGATGGTGGGTCTATCAGTAGCATGGGCTTCAACTGCTTTAATGGAGTCAATATAGAAAGAATGGACAGCGTCCCGGAACCATTAGGGATGCTTGCTCTTCGGAACACCCAGATAACGTCTGGTGGTCTTCCGAATGGCGTATTATATTCGTTGGTGAATGTATCTACAATTATCCTAGACAACACCCACATGCGAGTTGTACAGAAGGACATGTTCCAGGCATCGACCAAGGCGACTCACATCTCGATGAAGAACAACCCCTTCATCTCTCTCCCCGTGGACATGTTCGAGAAGACCACCTCCCTGACAACGCTTGAATTGACCGGGATAGATTGGGTCTGCACGTGCCCTAATCTGTGGATCTGGACTCACCTCACCACGTACAACGTCTCCCTAGTCGGGGACATCGTCTGTTCCAGCCCCACCGCCAGTAAGTATAAACTCATACTCTAGCAGTAGCCAGTAATATCACGCTTCTCGTACCAAACACGCATTCTTCCTCTCAACACATCCATATGTTAGCATGTCCGTTTTTAGTACTGACTATTATTAGTATATGAACGCAACCTAAAGAAATTGCATTCACATGGCTATGAACACGATTAAATCAGTGTCATTTTGACGCGTATCCTCTCTCTTTGCATAAAGTCAGACCAGCATACGAAGCAAACACTTACATGTAGATAATGTGAAGCTGTAATAGGAATATCGTTTGCATAAACGATAGAAAAACGTCAATACCGCTAATATTACGGAATACCTATATTAAAATCACTAATAATTGTAAATTTGAATGAATATTTACGTTTTGAACCGACTTTTTTAACATTCAATTCGGTTTTAAAGCAATTCGGTTTCATCCATCTCTGTTAGATGGAAACCTAGAGGGCTTCCGTCACTATAGTAAACTAAATCACGTTCATACCGGCAACAGTATTTTTGTAAATCCGTCCAATCCCTATTTAATCCAATTCTGTTGTTTGACACAATGTTGATGGAAAGTTGCATTCAAACACCTCGGATATGACGTCATTCTTAATGCAGCCATTGTGTCTTTCGGGAACCCTCGGTATTTTCCTTAAACGAAAAAAATACTTGGAAGTACTTTTTGATATTTTCTTGTTTACGTGCAGACGGTTCCCGATTGCCATTGTGTATGTAAACCACGTAATTTCGATGGTGCACAATTTGATTAAAAGATGAGTGGGGATGACATGGTGATTATGGTTAGGCGGAAAGTAGGTAGGTAGATAATGGCCCGTTTAGGTTCAGTAAGCCGTCACCCTATTTTTTAACCCCCGATAAATCGTATGCAAAGACCACAATTAAACAATAAAATTCAAATAATTTTCAATAGGTGTTGAGCGGCATACCGGCATCAAATCGAGAAGGATGTGGCCTTGCGAAGCCAGAAACATTTATAAGCATTGTCATTTAGCAGGTTATGAATAAGAAAACGAAGGCTATGTTATGGTGGCATATTTTTGCCATCGACTTTTGACTTACGAGTTAACTATTTCGACATACATGTACTTAAAAATGATATCGAAATAGGTAACTCGTAAGTCGAAAGTCGATGGCAGAAATATGCCACCACACTAAGTGACCGAGAATAATAAATGAACTTTAGATGATCTGACCTTTCGGTACCTTTCATGCCTGGATGTTATGGTGCGCTAAACATGTTATAAACGTTGTAAATGAAAAGCGCTGTGTGATGTAATGTAATCATTTCGTAACATTTAGTTTTACTATGCAATGATTATAACAATGCAAAACTAAATGTAACGAAATGGCATTAAGTACAAAGTTGATGTATACGTAGCGATCACAAAGCCCTAGATTTGTATCTATGTGTACGGAAAAATATGTTACCGGGGTATTTTACTATGTTTTTCTTGTTTAAAAAGTGAATAACAAACTCGGTTTGGAGACGACATACCCTTCCACAGCTTGTTAAAATGAATGTAGCTCCGCATGACCGTATGACATTTCGTAGCATTCAGTTACGTCGCAAAAGAGGCAAACATGTTATAATGCCGGTGAACTATCTCTAAAGACATCAGCTTTAATTAAAAGACATTGCTATGTACCATTATAAATACTAATGCACACGTTCAATATATCCAAACTATATATCTGAACTCGGATGTTTAATTGAGTTTTTTCAATGTGCCTTATCACAGGGTTGACATGTTCGGTGACTATTTACCTTAACTGCACTATGTATAGCGGTTCATCGTGTCTTAGGATATGAGCTTTAGTTAATTTGCAACAAATATGAAACAAGTCATTACAACTTTTATTCTCAACTCGTGATGGCCCAAATGTAAGCGCGCCGTGGGGATTAATGTGGGAGGAGACTGGAGTACCGGGGAAAACCCACGTGATCGGGCAGGTGACCCCATACCTTTTCACGTCCTATCGGGAAATCGAACCTCGGCCGCCTTGGTGAAAGGCATGTGCGTTATCCACTGTGCCACCCGACTAACACTTCTGATGTGTTAGGGACCCTGTTGTATATCTTCTTCTCTATATTCGCTGTCATGATATCAGCATTCACATATGCTCCTACATGCTTTTGGTATTTTTGTTTAAGATTTAAGAGCCGCCGAGTACTACAAGACCGAATGTGACGACTCAACGCCTTGTGGAGACGAAACAGGTACGTGATTTACTGTCACTTTTAAAATTAAGGATTAAATCTTGCTTTGGTCGATTTTATGGGGTGATGAATTGAGTTGGTCTTGAAACACATTTAATAAACTGCGAAGCAGTTCATGTTTAAACTGTTTGAAGACCAACTCAATTCATCACCCCATGGATGTGTGATTCACGTTGTTTCCGATTTGTAATTGGGTTGACACTGGGTTGACACTGATACAAGAGGCAGAATGGGTTGCTGGACCTAGGGAGAATTTCTAAGGCAGTACATGACTTTTCACTACCGCTAGCAACACCTGATACAATTTTGCTTATTGATCGTTTTAGGTTGCTTGAATGATTTCTAGTGTAGCTTCAATACAATTATAAAATCTCATACAAGTGGTATCTTCCTTGTTTGAAGATGCCAATAGTTATCTCTCTTCGCAAAATCTGAAAATATATATTCATAAGATGATAATCGGGTAAATTTCATCGGCAAATGAAACAGGTAACATTTGGTAGTTGTATTGAGCCCAGCTTGATTAGAAACTGAAATATATAGGTGTGTATCAGCAAAGGATTGAAATCACATGTGCGTACTGCAAGTGGGTACACCGAAGGTTAAGTTCGTATTATATGATCGTAAATTGACCCAGCAGGCACACAATTTAACTTATGGAATTAGTGAACAAAGTTACACAAACGCTCAGCAAAATAGATAAAACTGAGTAATAAGAAAAGGAGTGATGGTTTGATGTTACTCTACATCATGTTAATTGGAGTGCGTCGTATGGATAAGAACGAAATCTTAGTGAGTGTATTGTTTGTTTTTGTATAAATGTTAAGTTTGAACCGAACAGCCGTCAAGTTCAGGGAAATAAGGAACTTAGCCTAACTGCACTGTGACACAGGTAGCATATCACAGTTACATAGAGAATATGTATATAATACCCAGGAAGCGAGTGGTGCACGTCCTTTATGTTACAGGTATTTTCATTGGTTAATAATGCATATCCTTTTTTGTTACAGGTATTGTCATTGGTAGTTACTGTTACTTGATAGGCGATATCACATTCCATGGAGTACTATTGATAACGTTTATCATCGCTCTGGTAGCCTTCGCCATGACAGTTCACCTCAAACGACAGACGGCCGACCGGAAACCAGGAGACAAACCCCGTGGCAAACGGAAGGCGAGTGGGTCTCAATGGAAAAAAGTAGGGGGACCAAAGAAAGGCGAGTCGATGGCCTAACGCAGGCAAGCGTCACTTTAGTATAAACTGTCAAGTGTTCTTATGGACTCGAGGAGTTGTGCGCAATTGAACGTTTTCGAATGTATTTAAGTTAAATTAAAGCATTAATTAAGATTCTTGCGATTAACACAGCTACTCAGTTTTGTAATAAAATATGTGTGTGAAATGGAGTGATTTGTAGGTAATTGGTGTCAACCTAAGAAATGTCTGTTTCATTTTATGAGGCTGCTGACCTGTTTTCGTACGCCGGATTCCGGCTAAGCTGAGGCGATATTCTGCACACCAAGGTATGGTACGCGATACACCGTGTTAGCAGTAAACAATATTTGCACGCCACTTCCGGCGTTAAATCCGTTTTGTTTCTGTGTTTAGATGCTTCGACAGTTTTCTAGACGCCAGGAGGTTGGGGGCTGGCAGCCTCTTATGTAGCTTACATGTTTATCTTTCCTGTTTATTACTTACGTTAATGAAACAAACATAAAAAGTAGAGACATACCTTGTTGTTATAGGTAACTCCTCAGCGTCGTTATACCTGATACAGTAGCCTTTGTATTGTTATAGGTAAGTCCTCAGCGTCGTTATACCTGATACAGTAGCCTTAGTATTGTTATAGGTAAATCCTCAGCGTCGTTATACCTGATACAGTAACCTTTGTATTGTTATAGGTAAATACTCAGCGTCGGTATACCTGATACAGTAGCCTTTGTATTGTTATAGGTAAATACTCACGTCGTTATACCTGATACAGTAGCCTTTGTAATGTTATAGGTAAATCCTCAGCGTCGTTATACCTGATACAGTAGCCTTTGTAATGCTATAGGTAAATCCTCAGCGTCGTTATACCTGATACAGTAGCCTTTGTAATGCTATAGGTAAATCCTCAGCGTCGTTATACCTGATACAGTAACCTTTGTATTGTTATAGGTAAATACTCAGCGTCGGTATACCTGATACAGTAGCCTTTGTGTTGTTATAGGAAAATCCTCAGCGTCGTTATACCTGATACAGTAGCCTTTGTAATGCTATAGGTAAATCCTCAGCGTCGTTATACCTGATACAGTGGCCTTTGTATTGTTATAGGTAAATACTCAGCGTCGGTATACCTGACACAGTAGCCTTTGTATTGTTATAGGTAAATCCTCAGCGTCGTTATTCCTGATACAGTAGCCTTTGTATTGTTATAGGTAACTCCTCAGCGTCGGGATACCTGATACAGTAGCCTTTGTATTGTTATAGGTAAGTCCTCAGCGTCGTTATACCTGATACAGTAGCCTTTGTAATGCTATAGGTAAATCCTCAGCGTCGTTATACCTGATACAGTAGCCTTAGTATTGTTATAGGTAAATCCTCAGCGTCGTTATTCCTGATACAGTAACCTTTGTATTGTTATAGGTAAATACTCAGCGTCGGTATACCTGACACAGTAGCCTTTGTATTGTTATAGGTAACTCCTCAGCGTCGGGATACCTGATACAGTAGCCTTTGTATTGTTATAGGTAAGTCCTCAGCGTCGTTATACCTGATACAGTAGCCTTAGTATTGTTATAGGTAAATCCTCAGCGTCGTTATTCCTGATACAGTAGCCTTTGTATTGTTATAGGTAAAACCTCAGCGTCGGTATACCTGATACAGTAGCCTTTGTATTGTTATATGGTTTTTGTCCTACAACGTTTCCCACAAATGCCGGAAAACAAACGACCAACTGAAACATGGTAACTAAATCTATTCCTAGAAGCAGTTTCACCTCGATCTGAACTTTACTATACACTGAGACTACAAACACGAAATCAAAACAGAAAACTACGACATTGTTGTCAACGTGCATCCCGTAATTCACTACGATAAACCACAGTTGTTTATATAACAGAAAACGAACGAACGCAATAATCAAAATTGAAAGTAGTGAGCAGGAATCGATTGATTATTTTCGTACACAATGTTTGATAGGAATGGCGTACTGTATCGAGTCTATAAAGGTAAAACAAGCATTTTTTCTTGTTCTCTCGATATTACTGAATGAGAAATGTTGCAGGATAAATGGAATGAATGGTTACCATCTTAAAATATCTATATGTGGCCTTGGGTCGGAGAGAACATTGGTGGCGCGGTACACTTTCTAACAAGGTCTCTCGCCGACGTTATATTAAAGCTTCTATTTTAAGGTAACTGCCATGCGCGATCTATGTGATGCAACTATGTGATGTATATTATATAACGCCATGTGATGTTGTGTGGTTATGTTTTTACCAGTGAAAGGGTTTACAGTGAAAACGCTTTTTTTGTTTTGTTTTGTCACAGTCCTAAGTAAACCATTTATTTTCACACTTAACCGACCAACCAGGGTGCCTGGTTACCTGTGAAAATTACAATGGGAAATGTCTATTGTGACGTCACTGACGCCCCTTGACGTGTTCTGATCGTGACGTCGCCATACAACATTCCTGGTTTCAATATTAGGTGATAAATTACATGCTGATGGACACCAAAGTATTATAAAAAACGTAATAAACAATGTTTATTCTTGTTGTCTTGATGAATAACACTGATATTATTTCACATTTGGGTTGAAAATTCTTCGAATTTGCAATTGTGAGAAAAATATCGAAAATATTCACACCACTCTTGAATTAAATTTATTTTTTATCAAGAAAGCAACTATTATAAGACGCCACTTTGAAATATTTTCTGTCAATGTTACAAAAGAGAGTTAATGCTCTCGTGAGTTATTTTCCGCACTGATGCCAAATTATCATTATAATATTATGTCGTAATAAAGTATACTGTTTTCGTTCAGTTGTATGCTTATTTGTCTTAATTTAAATCTGCTTCATATCTTCATTAAGTTACAAAGATATTATATACACTAAGTATTTATAAAGTGAACGCTGGTCGTGTGAGAATAAATCCATTCTTGACTGTGACTTCCACATAGAGGATCTAACATGAGTTTCGTTTATTACTGACATAAACCAAAGGAAGATTGTTTTTTCGTTTTTAGCGAGCCTCTGACGAACTAAAATGAAAAATTTGTGAAAGTTTTATTAATTCCATACAAAAAGGAAACGACTATAAACTGCTTATCACATGACCAGACAAAATATATTTCAAATATCCGCGAAATCAACTTTTTCTAAGATTGACTTGAAATCTAAAATATCGGCATTTCGACTCCCAAGACTTTTCCCTTTTATGAAATCACAATGGAATTGAAAGCCAGCGACTGTATGAAGTTGTCCTGGTTATGATGTCACGATAAAACAACAGGAACCTTCAGCCAAGCACAGCTTCCACATGGTACAATTTAACGTGTGTTTGAAGCGAAATTTATGGAACAGGACTGATGAAGCTGGCATCAAGGAAAAAACGTAGTATATCTGTAACTGTGTGTTGGCGCTAATATATAACTCGTCTATGGGTTATTGTGTCCGTCTACAATGACGCTATGCTATCTTTTGTAATGGTGTTTTGACGCTATGATATTTTGTCCTTATGTGTTGACGCTGCTGTAGATTTTGTCCTTATGTGTTGAAGCTGCCGTAGATTTTGTCCTTATGTGTTGACGCTGCCGTAGATTTTGTCCTTGTACAATGACGCTATGCTATCTTTTGTAATGGTGTTTTGGCGCTATGATATTTTGTCCTTATGTGTTGACGCTGCTGTAGATTTTGTCCTTATGTGTTGACCCTGCCGTAGATTTTGTCCTTATGTGGTGACGCTGCCGTAATTTTTTTCCTTATGTGTTAATGCTGCAGTAGATTTTGTCCTGATGTGTTGACGCTGCCGTAGATTTTGTCCTTATGCGTTCACGCTGCCGTACATTTTGTCCTGATGTGTTAATGCTGTCGTAGATTTTGTCCTTATGTGTTGACCCTGCCGTAGATTTTGTCCTTATGTGTTGACGCTGCCGTAATTTTTTTCCTTATGTGTTAATGCTGCCGTAGATTTTGTCCTGATGTGTTGACGCTGCCGTAGATTTTGTCCTTATGTGTTCACGCTGCCGTAGATTTTGTCCTGAAGTGTTGACGCTGCCGTAGATTTTGTCCTTATGTGTTCACACTGCCGTAGATTTTGTCCTTATGTGTTGACGCTGCTATACATTTTGTCCTTATGTGTTGACGCTGCCGTAGATTTTGTCCTGATGTGTTGACGCTGCCATAGATTTTGTCCTGATGTGTTAATGCTGCCGTAGATTTTGTCCTTATGTGTTGACGCTGCCGTAGATTTTGTCCTTATTTGTTGACTCTGCCGTAGATTTTGTCCTTCTGTGTTGACGTTGTCGTAGATTTTGTCCTTATGTGTTGACGCTGCCGTAGATTTTGTCCTTTTGTGTTGATGCTGCCATACATTTTGTCCTTATGTGTTGACGCTACCGTAGATTTTGTCCTGATGTGTTGACGCTGCTGTAGATTTTGTCCTTATGTGTTGAAGCTGCCGTAGATTTTGTCCTTATGTGTTGCCCCTGCCGTAGATTTTGTCCTTAAGTGTTGACGCTGCCGTAGATTTTGTCCTTGTACGTTGTCGTTGCCTTATAGTTTGTCCTTGTGTGTTGTGGCTGCCGTAGACTTTGTCCTTATGTGTTGATGCTGCCGTAGATTTTGTCCTTGTGTATTGACGCTGCCGTAGATTTTGTCCTTATGTGTAAACGCTGCCGTAGATTTTGTCCTTATGTGTTGACGCTTCCATACATTTTGTCCTTATGTGTTAATGCTGCCGGAGATTTTGTCCTTATGTGTTGACCCTGCCGTAGATTTTGTCCTTAAGTGTTGACGCTGCCGTAAATTTTGTCCTGATGTATTGACGCTGCCGTAGATTTTGTCCTTGTACGTTGACGTTGCCTTATAGTTTGTCCTTGTGTGTTGTGGCTGCCGTAGACTTTGTCCTTATGTGTTGATGCTGCCGTAGATTTTGTCCTTATGTGTTCACGCTGCCGTAGATTTTGTCCGGATGTGTTGACGCTGCCGTAGATTTTGTCCTTGTGTATTGACGCTGCCGTAGATTTTGTCCTTGTGTGTAGACGTTGCCGTAGATTTTGTCCTTATGTGTTGACGCTGCCGTAGATTTTGTCCTTATTTGTTGACGCTGCCGTAGATTTTGTCCTTAAGTGTTGACGCTGCCGTAAATTTTGTCCTAAAGTATTGACGCTGCCGTAGATTTTGTCCTTGTGTGTTGACGTTGCCTTATATTTTGTCCTTGTGTGTTGTGGGTGCCGTAGACTTTGTCCTTATGTGTTGATGCTGGCGTAGATTTTGTCCTTATGTGTTCACGCTGCCGTAGATTTTGTCCTTGTGTTGTTGACGCTTATGTATATTTTGTCCTTGTGTTGTGGCCTATTGTGTTGACGCTGCCGTAAATTTTGTCCTGATGTGTTGACGCTGCCGTTGATTTTGTCCTTATGTTTTGACGCTGCCGTAGATTTTGTCCTTATGTGTTGACGCTGCCGTACATTTTGTCCTTTTGTGTTGATGCTGCCGTAGATTTTGTCCTGATGTGTTGACGCTACCGTAGATTTTGTCCTGATGTGTTCACGCTGCCGTAGATTTTGTCCTTATTTGTTGACGCTGCCGTAGATGTTGTCCTGAAGTGTTGACGCTGCCGTAGATTTTGTCCTGGTGTGTTGACGATGTTGCATTTTTTCCTGTGACGACTTAATGCTGTATTTTGAGGGTTGACGCAAAAGTATATATTATTCTCGTATCAATATTGGTGATATTTTAACCTTGTGAGATAACTACGTTTGTTGACGCTTATGTATATTTTATCCTTGTGTTGTTGACGCTTGGGTATAGTTTGTCCTTGCGGTGTTGACGCTTAGGTATATTTTGTCATTGTGTTGTTGACGCTTAGGTATATTTTGTCCTTGTGTTGTTGACGCTTATGTATACTTTGTCCTTGTGTCGTTGACGCTTATGTATATTTTGTTCTTGTGTTGTTGACGATTATGTATATTTTGTCCCGTGTTGTTGGCGCTTATGTATATTTTGTCCTTGTGTTGTTGACGCTTGGGTATAGTTTGTCCTTGCGGTGATGACGCTTAGGTATATTTTGTCATTGTGTTGTTGCCGCTTAGGTATATTTTGTCCTTGTGTTGTTGATGCTTAGTTATATTTTGTCCTTGTGTTGTTGACGCTTATGTATACTTTGTCCTTGTGTCGTTGACGCTTATGTATATTTTGTTCTTGTGTTGTTGACGATTATGTATATTTTGTCCTAATGTGTTGACGCTTATGTATATTTTGTCCTTGTGTTGTTGACGCTTATGTATACTTTGTCCTTGTGTCGTTGACGCTTATGTATATTTTGTTCTTGTGTTGTTGACGATTATGTATATTTTGTCCCGTGTTGTTGGCGCTTATGTATATTTTGTCCTTGTGTTGTTGACGCTTGGGTATAGTTTGTCCTTGCGGTGTTGACGCTTAGGTATATTTTGTCATTGTGTTGTTGACGCTTAGGTATATTTTGTCCTTGTGTTGTTGACGCTAATGTATCTTTTGTCGTTGCGTTGTTGACGCTTAGGTATATTTTGTCATTGTGTTGTTGACGCTTAGGTATATTTTGTCCTTGTGTTGTTGATGCTTAGGTATATTTTGTCCTTGTGTTGTTGACGCTTATGTATACTTTGTCCTTGTGTCGTTGACGCTTATGTATATTTTGTTCTTGTGTTGTTGACGATTATGTATATTTTGTCCTAATGTGTTGACGCTTATGTATATTTTGTCCCTGTGTTGTTGGCGCTTATGTATATTTTGTCCTAATGTGTTGACGCTTATGTATATTTTGTCCTTGTGTTGTTGGCGCTTATGTATATTTTGTCCTTGTGTTGTTGACGCTTATGTATATTTTGTCATTGTGTTGTTGACGATTATGTATATTTTGTCCCGTGTTGTTGGCGCTTATGTATATTTTGTCCTAATGTGTTGACGCTTATGTATATTTTGTCCTTGTGTTGTTGACGCTTATGTATATTGTGTCATTGTGTTGATGACGCCTATGTATATTTTGTCCTTGTGTGTTGACGCTTATGTATATTTTGTCCTTGTGTTGTTGACGCTTATATATATTTTGTCATTGTGTTGTTGACGCTTATGTATATTTTGTTCTTGTGTGTTGACGATTATGTATATTTTGTCCTTGTGTGTTGACGCTTATGTATTTTTTGTCCTTGTGTTTTTGACGCTTATGTTTATTTTGTCCTTGTGTTGTTGACGCCTATGTATATTGTGTCATTGTGTTGTTGACGCTTATGTATATTTTGTCATTGTGTGTTGACGCCTATGGATATTTTGTCCTTGTGTAGTTGACGCTTATGTATATTTTGTCAGTGTGTGTGCACGCTTATGTATATTTTGTCCTGGTGTTGTTGACGCTTATGCATATTTTGTTCTTGTGTGTTGACGATTATGTATATTTTGTCCTTGTGTGTTGACGCTTATGTATTTTTTGTCCTTGTGTTTTTGACGCTTATGTTTATTTTGTCCTTGTGTTGTTGACGCCTATGTATAATGTGTCATTGTGTTGTTGACGCTTATGTATATTTTGTCATTGTGTGTTGACGCCTATGGATATTTTGTCCTTGTGTGTTGACGCTTATGTATATTTTGTCCTTGTGTTGTTGACGCTTATGTATATTTTGTCATTGTGTGTTGACGCTTATGTATATTTTGTCCTTGTGTTGTTGACGCTTATGTATATTTTGTCTTTCTGTCGTTGACGCTTATGTTTATTTTGTCCTTGTGTTGTGGCCTATTTTGTATTTGTCCTTGTGTGTTGAAGCTGTAGTGTATTCGGACTATAGTATATTGTGTCTATGATGACGTTGTGGTATATTTTGATGTGTAACGATACAATGGCATTGTTTTTCCTGGTGCATCTGAATTAATGCTGTGTTATTTGTCGTCCTTCTGATGGTAATGCCATGCTATGTTTTTGTGACTGGATGGTGGTTTATCCGTCTCATTTGACGCTGTATAATAGTCAACTATTGTATGAAGACTCTGTAGTTTTTGTGATGTCGCTGGAATATATATATTGTCATTGTCAGTGAACTTTGTTAAGTTTATTTTTGTTGACTCTGAGAATGTTTTGCTATAATTTACTTTGCTGTGGATAAGTCCCTGAGGTATATTTTATATTTTGAATGCTGACGCTATAATTTATTTGATACTTGTGCGTTTGCAAGTTTACTTATTTTGTCCTTGTATGTTGACGCTTGAATACATATTCTTGTGTCGACCCCAGGAAGTTGATTTATTTATTTAATATTATTTATCTATTTTTAGGCTAAGGTATAACAACTCCTTGTATTCTGACACTGTGCTGTATGTTTAATGGGTCTAAATTAGTGACATATTTTGTCCGTGTGTGCTAGACTGTGATATAACTTGCGAGTTGATGCTGTGGTATATTTTTACCATTGTTTGTTGAAGCTTTTTAACAATTCTTTGCAACTTGGTGTTGACGCTTAGGTATAATGTGTCCTTGTGTTAACGCCTTGAGTTTTTGTCCATGTGTGTTGAAGCTGACGTTTATTTTGTCCTTTTGTGTTTCTTTATATTTTTTGACATCATAGTATATTATGTCGTTATGGACGCTGTTGTATATGCAGTAAATGTTTACTTTGTTTGACTTTCCTATCGATTTTGTTTCAGAAATCAATAGACTAACCTTTGTATATATCCTGAAGATGTAAGTGAGTTTAGTTGTACATGTGATGAACTTTGGTACCAAAGATAAATCCTCAATCTTAAATTGACAAAATGGTCAAACTGTGCAGTAAATATGTACCATTGTTAGGCTTTCTGAGTAGAAAACCTTGACATTCTGGTGATTGTTTTACGACCCATTGTATGTAGCATTAAGATGTTTAGTTGTACAGTGTGGGGGCCTCTAGTACCACTAATAAGTTCTAAACTGACAAAATCGATATTTGTTGCAGTAGAGTTTTAATATTTTTGGCTTTCAATATCAAAAAACTAAAGTTTAAACACATGTATGTGATTCCTAAGTTCGTAGGTATAGTGACAGACATAGTAACGTGTGTATGTAGTCTGAAGGTTTGGATGAGTTTAGTTGTACACATTCGTTTTACAATGTGATAACATTACACGTATTGTTGAAACTACGAGAACACCTTCATTGAACCACTCACAGGAAAGGTTTCGTGGGATTCTCATGTGTTATCGAGAAAGGGACACCAATGTATTGTATTCAATCATTACAATTATACATATATTTTCACATCAATGTGCAAGCAGGTACTAATTTTACAATCTTTTCTTTTTGCTTTTTTTAGAGTTAAGTATCTAAAATCTTTCCCACTTCTGCACGAAAACTTGTCCATCCATCTTCTTCACACGAGAGTATCTAAAATCCTTCCCACTTCTGAACGAAAACTTGTCCATCATCCTTCTTCATCTTTGTCAGCTCTGCCTTCTGATTGAATTGCTCTGCTGCGAATGTCTTGGATGCAGTTGGGTTTTTGGTTTTTGTGTCTGCTTTGTCAGGGTTTTCGATCATTGGGCTGAGCTCCTTCCTGGTACATATCGCGAGACACAAGGCAACACAGGAAATAGTGAGGGAGATCAGCACCACGCAGCTGTTTGATATAGACCAGGCCGACAGACAGTAGCTACCTACAGCTACACCTGTAAATAAGCGTGTGACTCACATATAATGACAAATTTTAAATTAATTGTTATTGAAACATATTACTGAATATATCAAGAACATTTTTTATTTTTTATTCATCTCAATAACCGATTTGCTTTGTCGGTTTAACTTCATTTCAACATAAAATGTTTAACACAAAAATCAAATAGAGAAACCTGTTGACTCGCCCCAATGCTACAGATATAACCTGACACGCCCTCAAATTCCACATGTTTAACAAAACACGCGTATTCTTTACACCACAAACCTTACTTCACGAGGACTTTGTTTACATCACATGTTATATCAGAACCGCCCTTCTGTATACCATGAGTCATACCAGATTCGCCTTTTATTTACATAAAGTATTATATTAGACACGTCACTTCCTTTCATCACTTGTGATGATACTAGTTCATATCACTTCAAACACTATACCAGACACGCCCCGTTTTTACATCACATCAGAACAAGACACGGACTTTATTTCCATTAAATTTAAACCAGACACACACACTTTTTACATTAAATAAGTACCAGACACGCCCCTTTTTACATCACATAAGAACTAGAAACGCCACTTTTTAACAATATATAAGAATCAGACGCGTTCTTTATTTACATCACATCAGAACAAGACACGCCCCTTTCTTTACATCACATCATACCAGACACGGACTTTTTTTTACATCACATCAGAACAAGACACGGCCTTTATTTACATTACATTTAAACCAGACACGCCCCCTTTTTTTACATCAAATAAGTACCAGACACGGCCCTTTTTTACGTCACATACCAACTAGAAACGCCACTTTTTAACAATATATAAGAATCAGACGCGTTCTTTATTTAAATCACATCAGAACAAGACACGCCCCTTTCTTTTCATCACATCATACCAGACACGGAGTTTTTTTTACATCACATCATACCAGACACGGCCTTTATTTACATTACATTTAAACCAGACACGCCCCCTTTGTTTACATCAAATAAGTACCAGACACGGCCCTTTTTTTACGTTACATAACAACTAGAAACGCCACATTTTTACAATATATAAGAATCAGACGCGTTCTTTATTTACATCACATCAGAACAAGACATGGCCTTTATTTACATCACATCATACCAGACACGGACTTTATTTATATCACATCATACCAGACACGGCCTTTATTTACATCACATCATACCAGACGCGTTCTTTATTTACATCACATCAGAACAAGACACGGCCTTTCTTTACATCACATCATACCAGACACGGACTTTTTTTACATCACATCAGAACAAGACACGGCCCTTTTTTTAACATCAGATAAGTACCCGACACGCCTTTTTTTTTTACATCACATAAGAACAAGACACACCCCTTTCTTTACATCACATCATACCAAACACGGACTTTTTTTTACATCACATCAGAACAAGACACGGCCTTTATTTACATTACATTTAAACCAGACACGCCCCCCCCCCCCCCCTTTTTTTTTTTTTTTTTTTTTTACATCACATTGGTATCAGACACGCCCCCTTTTTACATAACATAAGAACCAGAAACGCCACTTTTTACAATATATAAGAATCAGGCGCGTTCTTTATTTACATCACATTAGAACAAGCCACGCCCCTTACCTATATCCCACGATACAAGGTACACCCTTTATTTACATTACATAAGAACTCGATTGATTGTTTTGTCCGCTTCACTACCGAGTAGTTCGGTTACATTAGAACTAGACGTGCCTTTTATTTATATTACATTAGAACCAGTCACACCCTTTCTTTACATTACATTAGTACCAGATACTCCTGGTTTTAAAATAGATACATTACCAGACACGCTGCCACATATGTCCACTGTCGTACAGTACTCCGTTTTATATTCCTCAGCGCGTTTCCCTGGAATAAACAAAATAGGACACATTTCCACAGCGTCAACATGCCAAAATAAAAACCCGAACTCAAATTCGACGTAAAAACAATAAAGTTATCATTTCCTATAGCAAAACAAACAAAAGATTTTATCACAAAAAATTGACGCGAAAAAATATAGAACCAAAACCGATGACCACTAGGGGTGTTTGTCGCAGCAACATCACGCTGTTTAAGAACTTAAAATTAAATAAATCAATCTACCGTCACAAATAAACGTACAGAGCATGTGTTGTTTTTCTACTAGAATTAATTCTCTTTTTTTTAAAAAAAGAACAAGAAAACACAATATATATATATATATATATATATATATATATATAAACTGATTTTGACATCGCACAGCATGACTGTTAATAGAAATAGAACAAAGCTATAGGCCTGGAGGACTCTAGGGGAAGCAAACAATTGCAAATTTGTGATTTATTAAAGTATTTTACTGGCAACTGTGGTATCTCTATCGTTTTGGAAATTTGATATGACATTTCTGAGTAATTTGTGAGATAATAAAAGTGTGTTTGATGTATATACCTACCCGATTGCTCAGCCGGAGACGAACACACAAAATCACCCCGTAAAGTGATGTTGTTGGCTACAGCATAGTCAAACAACCACAAGCTGGAACAGCTACAGTCCCAGGCTATTCCGTTTGCCTCCACTGATAGCAAGCCAGCTGCCTCATTGAATAGACCACTAGGTATTGATGTAAGTGGGTTGTTACTGATTGTTAGTGACGTGATTTTGGTAGTCACTTGGAACATATCAGTCTGTAAAGTGGCGATGTTAGTATTTTCAAGAACAATATTCTTAACGTTTGGCAAGCTATATAAAACCCCATTCGGTAATTTTCCGTCTGTGACGTTACAGTTACGAATGGAGAGTGTTCCGAGAGAATCTCCGCTGTTTTCAAAACTCATCGCATATATGTTCAGCAACGTGAAGCTATTGAAGCCGAAGCTATGAATGGCACCGCCCTCGATTCCAAGGTAGTTAAGCTCCACCAGGTCCGCGAACATCTCGTCCGGGATGTTGTAGATATTACAGTCAATGATGCGAAAGTCTTTAATGTAATTCATTCCAGCGAGCGCACCCGCTGTCAGGATAACAGAGCTTCCGGCGTGACAACGAACGACCAAACTCGGGACGATCCTGGTATCAAATCCACTCGTCACGATGGACAGGAAGTTGGAGAAGGTAGGACCGATTGGAGCGGAAGCTGCAAGCTCACCCGAAAAATCTGTGATGTGTAAAACTTGGGGGACGTTGTCAAATGTAGTAAGGTCCAATGGGAAGCTGCAAGTCCTCGCGGAGCATTCGTATTTCCTTTCAGATGAAAAGTACGTGCAACCAACAGGATCCGCTGCCTTTGAAGACGTGAATAGTCCAATAACCAATGATATGTAAATAACCATGATTAGTTCCATGGCTTCCTGGTCAAAGTTTGTTATTTCATTTCTCGTTATGTCGGCTCTGTTTTAACATTAGTAACAATACCGTTCGGAGAAGAAGCACCGCGAACAGGGTTTACATTTCAATACAAACATTTCAGCCAGTAGTGTGTAGACTGTCGATATATAGGACGTGCTTAATTATGTCATCTTCTTCTTCTCGTGATTGCTCTGGATATAACTGTTAACTATCACAGGTCACGGCCTGGATCAAGACCTAGATTTAATCCAGATCTTAATCTGATAATCCTCCGACTGCCCCCGGTCGAGGAATCCATATGTCACGCTCCTTGCTATTGGCCATTGTTATACACGTAAATCAGAATGTTCTACTGAATTATACCAATAACAGATTATGTACGTTTAATATAATTATTGTCATTGTTAGAATAAAATAAATATATTTATGTTTAAGTGTTTACGATGTCCTTAATTCAATCAATTATCCTCGGAGGTCTTAGCACTTCGTGAACAACACAATATTTATATTTTTCTGCATTGCCGCAGCAGCTGTAGATGAATAGACCATAGCTCAGGCGATATAATTGTTAATTATTACAATGGTCACGTCATAGGTACAACGTTGGAGATATATGGGCTAACTTGAATGCTGGCTTCTTCATTTATTGAACATGTGCCGATGTTAAACGTGAATGTAGCAACAGACCTATAACTTTGACGAGGGTCATAGAAATCTAACGTTACAATCATGATGTCATAATAATGACATTGTTTAGGAGCTGTATATAGCCATATAAGGCATTGACGGTCAGCAAAATAATTTGTCTAGCGTATAAAATATTACCGCCATATCTACCTTAGTGTAATGCATTCGACTGGAGAATAGTTTAGCTTTACTATAAATAACCAACCATTTCCGTTAGAGTTACCAATTACGGGAAGACAAAGATGTCCAGTGTGGAGAGAGAAGCTTGACCACAACATTTACTATAAATAACCAAATATTTCCGTTAGAGTTACCAGTTACAGGGAAACAAAGATATCAAGTGTGGAGAGTAAAGCTTGACCACAACATTTACTATAAATAACCAAACATTTCCGTTAGAGTTACCAGTTACAGGGAGACAAAGATATCCAGTGTGGAGAGTGAAGCTTGACCACAACATTTACTATAAATAACCAAACATTTCTGTTAGAGTTACCAGTTACAGGGAGACAAAGATGTCCAGTGTGGAGAGTGAAGCTTGACCACAACATTTACTATAAATAACCAAACATTTCGTTAGAGTTACCAGTTACAGGGAGACAAAGATGTCCATTGTGGAGAGTGAAGCTTGACCACAACATTTACTATAAATAACCAAACATTTCCGCTAGAGTTACCAGTTACAGGGAAACAAAGATATCAAGTGTGGAGAGTGAAGCTTGACCACAACATTTACTATAAATAACCAAACATTTCCGTTAGAGTTACCAGTTACAGGGAGACAAAGATATCCAGTGTGGAGAGAGAAGCTTGACCACAACATTTACAACCATTGTTTATTAGCTTGTTATGCAATACTTAACAAAATAGCCAATCTGAATAAATACAGCTGTTCATAATCACGTACCGCAGGAACCGTAGTGTTTTTTTTTATTAACATCTGATTTAAATGAGATTGCAAAATAGCGGAAAGATTTTGTGTTTTTCGCGAGAATTTAATCAATACTCTGTCTTGACATGTGAGTAAAGAAAATTTGATCTCAAATGAGGTTAATGAGTACAGTGAACTAAAAGTGATAAAACTTCTATAAGTTATGAGAAGAATACATTATATGAAGTTAACGCTGAAGGCCGCTGTAAGGCTATTCCTAGCTATGCCTTCTATAGCTATCTTGTCATTTAAATGATGGCAACTGCAGGTCTTGTTGCTGATAGCACAATACCTCTGCGATGTTTGGATGATGTTTTGATTTTGCTCTACCACAATGTACACCATCGCTTTTCATAAATGGTCACAGCTTAAAAGAAAATGAATTAAAATATCACCTGTTGCCCTCTTTGTAATATTTGGTAATAACAGAAAAGGAACCTTAAGTTAATCCCATGATTTTCCTTTTTCTAATATAAAATACCAAAGACAACGTACAAATACAAATAAAACATTACTTTTTGTATGACAAAATACAACTTGAGCTCATAATGTTTTTTATTACGACACACATTGGTAGTAATCGAAAAGCCCAAATACACTAAATTGTATAAGGACATTCACACATTGAATATTTACGTAAATATATCATCCATAACGCATACAAAATATCACAAACACTGAAATGATACGAAAACAACGGAATACATGCTTATAGAACCTCACCAAGTAGGTACAAATTATACTTTGCGCTGTGAATGAAAAATACCAATAATTATAACTTAAGAAATTAAAATTATTGATAGGGGAAACTACAGAATTCCATAAGCGACAGCGTCCTGCTTACTGCTTACTGCCTACAGCCTATTGCGTACTGTCAGCTATACTGCGTACTGCCAGCTATAGATCCACTGCCTATTGCGTACTGCCAGCTATACTGCGTACTGCCAGCTATAGATCCACTGCCTATTGCGTACTGCCAGCTTTACTGCCAGCTATAGATCCAATGCTTATTGCGTACTGCCAGCTATAGATCCACTGCCTATTGCGTACTGTCAGCTATACTGCGTACTGCCAGCTATAGATCCAATGCCTATTGCGTACTGTCAGCTATACTACGTACTGCCAGCTATAGATCCACTGCATATTGCGTACTGTCAGCTATACTACGTACTGCCAACTATAGATCCACTGCCTTTTGCGTACTGCCAGCTATATTGCGTACTGCCAGCTATAGATCCAATGCCTATTGCGTACTGGCAGCTATACTGCGTACTGCCAGCTATAGATCCACCGCCTATTGCGTACTGTCAGCTATACTGCGTACTGCTTATAGAACCTCACCAAGTAGGTACAAATTATACTTTGCGCTGTGAATGAAAAATACCAATAATTATAACTTAAGAAATTAAAATTATTGATAGGGGAAACTACAGAATTCCATAAGCGACAGCGTCCTGCTTACTGCTTACTGCCTACAGCCTATTGCGTACTGTCAGCTATACTGCGTACTGCCAGCTATAGATCCACTGCCTATTGCGTACTGTCAGCTATACTACGTACTGCCAGCTATAGATCCACTGCCTATCGCGTACTGTCAGCTATACTACGTACTGCCAGCTATAGATCCACAGCCTATTGCGTACTGCCTGCTATACTGCGTACTGCCAGCTGTAAATCCACTGCCAATTGCGTACTGGAAGCTATACTGCGTACTGCCAGCTATAGATCCACTGCCTATTGCGTACTGTCAGCTATACTGCTTACTGCCAGTTATAAATCCACTGCCTATTGCGTAGTGCCAGATATAGATCCACTGCCTTTTGAGAACTGTCAGCTTTACTGCTTACTTCCAGCTATAGATCCACTGCCTATTGCGTACTGCCAGCCATACTGCGTACTGCCAGCTATAAATCCACTGCCTATTGCGTACTGCCAGCTATACTGCGTATTGTCAGCTATAGATCCTCTGCCCGTTGCGTACTGCCAGCCTCATAATGTTTTTTATTACGACACACATTGGTAGGAATCGAAAAGCCCAAATACACGAAAGTGTATAAGGACAATCACACATTGAATATTTACGTAAATATTCAATGTGTGATTGTCCTTATACACTTTCGTGTATTTGGGCTTTTCGATTCCTACCAATGTGTGTCGTAATAAAAAACATTATGAGCTCAAGTTGTTAAGCATTATAACTGCCAGCTATACTGCTTACTGCCAGCTATAGATCCACTGCATATTGCGTACTGCCAGCTATACTGCGTACTGTCAGCTATAGATCCGCTGCCTATTGCGTACTGCCAGCTATACTGTGTACTGCCAGCTATAGATCCACTGCCTTTTGCGTACTGCCAGTTATAATGCTTATTGCCAGCTATAGATCCACTGCCTATTGCGTACTGTCAGCTATACTGCGTACTGCCAGCTATAGATCCACCGCCTATTGCGTAGTGCCAGCTATAGATCCACTGCCTTTTGCGTACTGCCAGCTATAATGCTTATTGCCAGCTATAGATCCCCTGCCTATTGCGTACTGCCAGTTATAATGCTTACTGACAGCTATAGATCCAATGCCTATTGCGTCCTGCCAGCTATACTGCGTACTGTCAGCTATAAATCCGCTGCCTATTGCGTACTGCCAGCCATACTGTGTACTGCCAGCTATAGATCCACTGCCTATTGCGTACTGCCAGTTATAATGCTTACTGCCAGCTATAGATCCAATGCCTATTGCGTACTGCCAGCTATACTGCGTACTGCCAGCTATAGATCCACTGCCTATTGCGTACTGCCAGCTATACTGTGTACTGCCAGCTATAGATCCACTGCCTTTTGGGTACTGCCAGTTATACTGCTTACTGCCAGCTATAGATCCACTGCCTATTGCGTACTGCCAGCTATAGATCCGCTGCCTATTGCGTACTGCCAGCTATACTGCGTACTGCCAGCTATAGATCCACTGCCTATTGCGTACTGTCAGCTATACTGCTTACTGCCAGCTATAAATCCACTGCCTATTGCGTACTGCCAGCTATACTACGTACTGCCAGCTATAGATCCACTGCCTATTGCGTAGTGCCAGCTATAGATCCACTGCCTTTTGAGAACTGTCAGCTTTACTGCTTACTGCCAGCTATAGATCCACTGCCTATTGCGTACTGCCAGCTATACTGTGTACTGCCAGCTATAGGTCCACTGCTTTTTGCGTACTGCCAGTTATACTGCGTACTGCCAGCTATACTGCGTACTGCCAGCAATAGATCCACTGCCTATTGCGTACTGTCAGCTAAACTGCATACTATCAGTTATAGATACACTGCATATTGCTTACTGTCAGCTATAGATACACTGCCTATTGCGTACTGTCAGCTATACTGGGTACTGCCAGCTGTACTACGTACTGCCAGCTATAGATCCACCGCCTATTGCTTGCTGTTTGCAATATATTTACTGCTTTCTGTCTACTGCTTACTGCCTATTGCTTGCTGTTTGCTATATATTTGTTGCTTACTGCCTTTTGCTTACTGTCTACTGCTTACTGTCTACTGTA